TAAAGGAGGACGCTACTCCTTTTCACACATATACCTCAAGAGACAATAAAACGCATGCTTTCATACTTCGTGGACTCGGTCGGGGACTAACAGTCGCGGACGTGCAAGCCGACATCGAAAAGGAATATAAACTGAATGTTCATAAACTTTTTCAGCTCCGATCCGAGGGAAGACCACTCTACATGGTAGTCATGGACGAGGATGTGACGCTACAATACCTTAATAAGAGTGTCAGACACCTGCTGTACACTTGCGTCTACTGGGAGCTGCGCCGCCAAGCCAGGAAGGTGCTGCAGTGCCACCGATGCCAGCAATGGGGCCACGCCACCTCAAACTGTGAGCGCCACATCAAGTGCATGAAGTGTTCAGAAGGCCACTGGACAAAGGAATGCACCCTCGGCCCAAATGACCCCCGCAAATGCGCAAACTGTGATGGAAATCACCAATCAAACTCTGAAAATTGTGAAGTCTATATATACAGGGTGGACGTCATGGAAGGCAAGAAACCAGGCAAACCAGGCAAGCCGACTGAACAGCAAGCCAAGTACACCGCAGCCCCGCCACCACAGCAGAACTATTGGACAGCCAGAGCAGCCAAGGCGGCCGCTCAATCAGCAGCCGCACCCGCAGAGTCCAATAGCAACTCAACCAGACCACCAACAGCAGCAACCATGGCAGCTCGAAACACCGGCAAAGATAAGTCGCCCAGTGACAGCAATTCACAGTATAATAATCTCATTTCAGAGTTTGGCCGCCTGAACACCCTTGTGAACCTCACCGGAATGATTACTGCTGTGAGAGATCTTAATAATATATTGCAACGATGCCCAGATCGTCTAAGTAAGTTTGCGGCCATAGCAGAGTTTACGCTCAACATTGACAAATACGGTATATAATCGCAGCACATCGCAATGAACTTATCATAGCTCATTGGAACAGTAATTCCCTGAAAAATAAGACTACAGGACTCATACACTTTTTGACAATTCACTCGGTGGACGTTATGGTAGTAAATGAGACCTTTTTAATAAATAGCGATAAATTCAAAATTAAGAACTTTCAAGTTTATAGGCAAGACCGCCCGGGTGCTCGTAGGAGCGGCGGAGTAGCCATTTTCGTTAGAAACACCGTGCCTCACACTTTAGTACGTAACAAAAACTCTTCAATTGAACATCTTATAGTTAAAGTCAATAATATTTACATAACAGCAGTTTACAATTCACCCGTCAATCATTTATTGCTTCACGATCTTGACGTTTTACTTGCTTTTAATAAGTGCATTCTCGTTGGCGACCTAAACGCAACCAGCCCTGTCTGGAACTGCAATAGGACCAACGAAAATGGACGAATGGTCAATGATTACATCACTGATAGTGACTGCCTATTAGCATATCCGAGTGAACCGACGCACTACCCTACTAACGGACAGACACCTTCGACATTAGACATCCTAATAACCAGGAACGTAATAATTCCTGATGAGCCAATAGCCCTCCACGAGCTAAATTCAGACCATTTGCCGGTCTTGACAAAAATACAAACAAGGCTTACAGCCCCTCCGCCACCTAGGCCAATATATAATTATGCCAAAACTGATTGGCATAAATTTCGAGATATAATGAACGATAAAACAGAAATTACCAACATAATACCGACTCATGCAGCAATCGAAACCGCGGTATCAAATCTTACTGATGTCCTGTTGCATGCTCGTGACAAAACAACAAAGATCATCAAAGTCCAAGCCCCATCGATAGCATACCCGCAGAGATCGCTGCTAAGATCAATGATAAAAACAAGTTTAAACGTCTCTACGATAAACATCGTAGAGACGAGTACAAAGTTGAGTACAATAAACTTAGAAATAAGATCAAGCACGACCTGCGGCGCTATAGAGATGGGGTTTGGGGTAACACACTAATTAACTTGAAAGCATCTGACAATAGCCTTTGGAGACTGGTCAGGAAAATCAAGCCAAGGAACAATTATTTTCCTACACTTGTCACTGGAGACAACAGCATGTCTCTAATAAGGAAAAAGCCGAAGCTATTGCCAGATGCTTCTATGAAATCACCAACAATGATACTGATAACCTCACGGATGAGCAGCAGGACATTAGTGACATAGCACAGCATTTTAAATTAAACCAGCATAATTATAATGATGTGGATAATGGAAACATGCACTGATTATTCCCATACACAAACTAGGTAAAGACCCTTCACTGCCTGTAAGCTACCGTCCCATATCGTTGGTAAGTAACTTATCCAAAGTTGCGGAACGCTCTATACTTAATATTGTCAACAAAATCGACAAAGCAAAACACCTAACGCCGCCTGAGCAATTTGGTTTTCACCTTGGACTAAGTACCGTCCATCAGGCTTAGAATAGTCCACGACGTCAAGCAGGCATTTAACGGTGGTAGAAACACCGTTATGGCGCTGCTTGACGTGGAAAAGGCGTTTGATACAGTCTGGTTGGACGGTTTACTAGCCAAATTCATTTCTTTTAACATTCCAAACCAAATTATCAAGATCATACATTCATTTCTATCCGGGCGAACCTTTCAGGTGAGTGTTGGGCAGGAAAAATCAGAGACTTATAGTATAAGAGCGGGAGTGCCACAAGGGACGGTACTTGCACCTAGGCTTTACACCTTATACACGGCAGACTTGCCTAAATCAGTGCATGTCAAAGTTGGATTGTTTTCGGATGACACGGCAGTCTACTCATCGAGTTTCCATTCACAAGTGGCAACAACTCAAATAAAAATTTTCTTTAATACTTTGTTAAAATATTTCAACAGGTGGAAAATTAAACTTAATCATGCGAAAACGGAGATGGTTAATTTTTCCGTTAAATCGCAACAAACAATCGCATTTTTTCACCTGTTGAGATGAATAATAATGCCATACTGCCGACTCCCACGGCCAAATACCTCGGTATCACGTTGGACAGTTGTTTTGTTTAACGGTACGAGCCCTCTCTCTACCGACAATAAGTTACTACTGTACAAGACCATGCTGAGACCAGTTATGACCTATGGATGCCCCGTTTGGTGTTCTGCATCAAACACACAGATGTTGCACTTGCAACGGTTGCAGAACAAGGCAATGAGGCACATAACTGGTCTCGGCCGCTACACATCGGTAGATCAGCTGCATGAGTCGACGGGCCTTCAGCCAATCGCTAATTTTATTGCCACGCAAGCCAACAACTTTTACAGCCACAAAATACATAAAAGCAGATGGCATAAATTACAAGCACAAACTCATTTATGGCCAACTACCAATATTCTATCAACGTAGGCAGCAAAACTAGCAAGTCTTTAATAATTTTTCATTTTTGTGTCATTTTGACAACTATAACATAGTTCAGAAAATCTCACGATAAACCATCGATAATTTCCTAATTTAATAATTAATTAATAAGTCCATAATGGGCATATAACACCTAATGAAATTTATCAAATCTCGTTAAAATTCAAAATTTGCATTTTTACTTTTTGAAACACACGCGGAGAACACTCCACTATATATAAAAGCGCACTTTTTCGCCTGTCGCTAACTGACGTGGCAAAGGTGCGCCTATATACAATTCTCCACTTGGGCCTGCGCCATTTCACCAAAGGTAATCGTCGGCGAAATAAAGGTGTGGGGACAGCGCCTCCAAGCTTGAAACCACACCTTTATATATACTGCAAACAACACACAAAAATTAACTAAGTCCGTAAAGGTGTGGCGACAAACCAGTCGCTGCACCTTTGTAGAATTTTTACTAAGTCCGTAAAGGTGTAGCGACAAACCAGTCGCTGCACCTTTATGATCGGACGCCGCACCTTTGCGGAATTTTTGCTAAGTCCGTAGAGGTGTGGTGACACTTCAACGACAAATAATAATACCGGCTGCCGCTTCCTGACGTCCAGGGATGGGGCGCCCGTCTAGGACGTCACGTCCCTGTTGATTGGAGGCATGGGACAAAAAACAGGTTGCGAATAAATCCTTAAATATACCGTATGTTCAGGTTGAGCTGGACAAAATGCGACCAATGTTGGGGATGGGCCCCGCTGCCTGGGACCGTGGGGGCTGACTTGCCGCACTACACTGGCTCACCAGTGGTACAGCACCGCGTGGTACAACACCGCGAATGGTGTGTGCGGCGGGGTAGCTCCCGTGGTCACGGATAGGGGGGTTAGTACCTAGCATTGGTTGCGAAAACCGCAAACTTACGTAATTACTTAACCAGGTTTTTCTTCTATTTTTCCTGGGAAATTTACATAAATTATCTCTCTAATAATTATAAAAATCAAACCACAGCAGCAATTATTGACCTAGGTCCACATAAATAGAGCGCTGTAGAATCACTCTGTGAGAAGGCGGCCAAATTCATCAATAAAACGAAAACAAATGGGCGACTTCCACCGTCGGTGTCTTCGAGAGGCCATACTCCGAGGACGCAGCATCCAGCAACAAAACCAGATATTTTATATTGTAATCAGTTGTTGTGTCACTTAACTACCTTTGTATATGTATATTTGTATATGAAACTGTGATATTAATTTTTAAATAAATTGTCTTTGACTTTGACTTTGGTCCTCGTGAGAGGGCGCCGTGAAATTTCGTGAGAGAAAAATCGTTGAAAAATCAGTAAAATCTGTTCCAAAAATTGTGAAAACATGTGCAAAGTGACAATAAGACATAGACTTAAATAGTGTGTTAGTTAGTTTTAGAATAGACATGTAAATTATAGTGTAAATAGTTAGTTATTCCCAAAACGTGTGACAGATACACTTTATACAGTGCGGACACAAAAAAGTGCCACTAGTGATTCCCCAAAACCAAGATTGAACCCCCAGGAGCACCCCTGAAGAAGGGGAATAGCCAAAGATGGAAGGGTAGAGGAGCACCACCAGCAAGCAATACCATAACGACCTCCAAACATCAAAAATCCAACCAAGTAAGTGATGGAAACAAAGTAGTACACACTGTATATGATTTAAGCAAAACTCCAACATCATCACCAAAATCGACATCATCGCCATCTACCAGCGGGAAGGAGAACCGTAACCCCAACATCCTTGTTAACTGCAAGTACAACTTCAACCCGGAGTGCAAACCATCGCCTAGTAATTCCACCTACACAGATTCCGAACTGGACTTCAACAACTCAGAAGGGTCGACATCTTCCGGCGAGAAGCTAAACGCCATCAACAAATTAATAAGCAACCTTTATGAAAAGAAATCGGGTAGCGACACTGAAAATCGCTCCGATACCTTAGAGCGTCGTGACAACGAAAATCACGGCTCTAAGGACCAAATGTCCAACACCATCTTCAATAAATCAGGTGACACAGAAAACCTTAAAACAACTAACACAGAAAACCTTAAAACAACTAACACAGAAAACCTTAAAACAACTAACACAATAACAAAAAAGAAGAAATCACCTACACTAAAAACCCGCAAACGCCACCTAGCGGACACTAGCAAAAACATAACCAAAAAGAAGAAGAAAACAATCAACCCAGAAAAAATTCAAATCCTACAAGATATACCCCTAAAAACGAAAAACAAGAAAAACCCAAAAATGGCAGACACAGCAAACGATGCGCCACAAGAAAATAGCAACCAACAACAGCCAACAAACGATGCGCCACAAGAAAATAGAAACCAACAACAGCCAACAAACGATGCGCCACAAGAAAATAGCAACCAACAACAGCCAACAACCATACCACCCCCTCCCAGCCCCCCAGGACCGATGGAATACGTTAGTGAATACGAAAACCAACAAAACATCGATGAAAGAATAAAGAAGGGCATAGAAAAACTCTACCCAAAGACAGCTGAAACTTTAAAAATAACCACCCAAGCCCTAGTACATAACCAACCCATAACCCAAAACATCATCCCTGAAGACAAAGAACCATTCCTAAAACCAAAAAAACACTTCCCATAAACAAAACCAAAAAAATCGTTAAAAACCCTATAATATTAAAAAATAAATTTCAGGATCTGGACAAAATTTCAACCATGGATACAGAACAATCACAATCAGAACAACCAGAGCCAACTAACGACACAACCACAGCAACAACCACGCAGCCAAGGCAAAACCTAGACCAGCATGCACCGCCAACAACCTTCAGACAAAACAGCCACAACACACAACAGAGCTCCACAGTCATCAGGAAGAAACCAATCCAGCCCCACCTATAATCATCGCCGGCACGATGGAAACACACAAGGGAGCCGTTGCTGGATTCAAAACGGTCATTACCAGGGGAAAATTCAATTTGAAATACACAAAGAACAACACCGTCCTGAACGTTGAAAACATGGATGACTACAGAGAAACCATCAAAATGCTAGTAGAAGAGGAAGAAGGCCTGGACGCGGAGGGAATAACAACCGCTGACATCCAAGAAGAACTGGAGAATACTTACAGAATCAAAGTCCAAAAGCTGTTCCAACTCACCACTAAATTCAGGCCTCTATTCATGGTGGTGACGGATGGCAACGTCACATTAAATTACCTAAACCAAGAAATTAGACACCTACTACACATAAGAGTAAACTGGGAACTAAGAAAACAAACCCGCCAAATCATCCAGTACCACAGATGCCAGGGGTGGGGACACGCCACCTCAAATTGCCAACGCCAATGCAAATGTCTAAAATGCGCCAAGGACCACCTAACCAGGGACTGCCCAAAGCTGCCCACCACCCCAGCATGCTGCGCCAACTGCGGCAAAGACCACCCAGCAAATTTAATGCTCTGCGAGGTCTACCTCTACAAGATAAAAAAACTGGAAGAGAGATATAAGAAAGCCCAGCCCAAGCAAAACTACCAAGACGCCCCACCACCAGAAGTAAACGCATGGACCCAACGACAGGAACAAGCAAGACTACAGCGCCAACCCTCTGTACAACCCCGTACAAACAATGTTCAACCCCTTATGGCATACACAGGCACGGCTAGCCCTCAAGGAAACTTCGGAGAACTCGTTACACAATTCCAAACACTTAACCAACTTTGCAACATGGACGGTATGGTAAGGGCGGTCAAAGATCTCTGTTCAAAAATGTCAAAAATTAATAATGAGGTTGATAGATTTATAGTTTTTTTGGGAATTCATCAATAATGATCTTAAAAACTAAAACATTTAAATGTTCCTTCAAAAAAAATCTCCAAATAATCTTGTGGAATTGTAATTCCATTAAGGATAAAAAATCATCCCTAATTCATTTCCTCAACTCTCACCATGTTGATGTTATTATTTTGAATGAAACTAAACTGAAACAAGATGAAAAACTGAAAGTAAAAGGATACGCCGTTCATCGCCAAGACCGCCCCAATGCTCAACGCAGCGGAGGGGTGGCTGTACTTATTAAAAATAATATTCCACACACGCGCCTTAAACAAAAAATTTCGTCTATTGAACATCTTATAATAAAAATTAATAATTTCCAAATAATAGCATCATACAATCCCCTATCCAACAAATTCTCCACCCTAGATTTTTCAAATCTAATAGATACTTATGATAAGGCCATAATGCTTGGTGATCTAAATGCTACTAACAGGTTATGGAATTGCCGTCGAGGTAAAGGGTAAACGGTACCACATTAATTAATTATATTGACAATTCAAACTGCCTTCTCGTATTTCCAAATGATTTCACCCACTACCCTACGAACCATATGCACCCCTCCACGTTAGATCTTGCAATCATTAAAAATCTTGAGCTGGTCGATGACCCACTTGTACTGTATGAAATGGACTCAGACCATCTACCGGTCAAATACACCATTAAAACTAGAATAGACCCCCCAACCCCTCCTATAAAACTGCATAACTATAAAACTACTGACTGGAATACATTTCGGAAAATCCTAAATACCATTACATCTATCAATAATAACATGCAAAATCCCCAACAAATTGACACAGCAGTGGACCTTTTTACGCAGAATTTGTTAAAAGCCAGGGATGCAACCACTAAACAAATAAAAGTTAACCCCCCCCTAGACGACATTCCTAAAAATATCATAAATAAAATTAAAGACAAAAATAAATTTAGACGATTATATTGTAGGCCTTATACTTGAATATAAAAACGAGTATAATAGGCTTAGAATAGAAATTAGAAATGAAATTAATTTGCATAGGAATGAAGTTTGGGGTAGAAATCTCGGTAACATTAGACCAAACGATAATAGTCTATGGATTCTAGCCAAATCACTTAAACCTAGACAACCAATACCAACAATTTCAGTAAATAATATAGACTACATCTCCAACTTTGACAAAGCGCAAATTCTAGGAGAACAATATAGCAACCAATACCAACAATTTCAGTAAATAATATAGACTACATCTCCAACTTTGACAAAGCGCAAATTCTAGGAGAACAATATAGCAAAGTCCATACACTAGATTTTTCCACCCTTACGAACGCCCATAGAGATATAATTAACTCAGCGGAAAATTTTCATGATAATTTCACACTATCAGAAATAAACCCAAAGCACCTCACCAACCCGACAAAAATTACTGAAATTATCAAAAATCTATCTAACAACAAGGCCCCTGGTAGAGATAAAATAGACAATATTGTAATTAAAAACATCCCACTAAAAACCAAAGTACAGTTTATGTACATAATAAATTCTTGTGTGAAAATGTCCTACTTCCCTACAGCATGGAAACATGCTGTAGTTATTCCAATTTTGAAAGCAGGAAAAAATCCATCTCATCCCTTAAGTTATCGTCCAATAAGCCTCGTAAGCAACCTGTCAAAAGTCTTAGAACGAGTTATTTTAAACAACATAGATGCTACAGATAAACGACTAAAAATTATTCCAGACAAACAATTCGGGTTCAGGCCCGGACTTAGCACATTACATCAAGCTGCCAGAATAACTCATAACGTCAAGCAGGCCTTTAACAAGAACCAGAACACGGTTATGGCCTTGCTTGACGTCGAAAAGGCTTTTGACAGGGTGTGGCACGATGGCCTCATCGCCAAAATGGACAAATTACACTTCCCAAAACAAATAACCAAAATTATACACTCATTTATTTCAAATAGAACCTTTAATGTCCGCATTCTCGATAAAGACTCCAACACCTTTAAAATAAAATCCGGGGTACCACAGGGTACGGTCTTGGCGCCAAGACTGTACAGTGTGTACACGGCTGATCTACCCAAATCGATTCATACTAAAGTTGGCTAATTTGCCGACGACACGGCTTTGTATAATAGTTCCTTCCATAGCCAAGTGGCTACAGATCAGCTCAAGATTTATCTAAGATCACTTCTTAAATTTTTTGAAGACTGGAAAATCCAGATAAATCATGGAAAGACAGAATTAATTAACTTTACCGTAAAATACACTAATAATAAAAAAATTTACCACTAATCCTCAATAACACCAAAATTCTACCCCAACCAACTGTCAAGTATCTAGGTGTCACATTCGATCAAAGACTAACATTTCTACCTCACGTCCAAACTCTTAAAGGAAAAACCTACAAAGCCATCGGAAAAATATACCCAATTTTCAAAAAAGCCAGTTTGATGTCAATACATAACAAATCCATCCTGTACAAAACAGTTGTAAGGCCGACAATAACTTATGCCGGTTTGGTGCTCCATATCCAATACGTCATATGTACATCTACAACGATTACAAAACAAAACACTTCGACATGTAACTAACATGGGAAGATACGCACCAATCGACGACATGCATGAGGTAGCAAATGTCGAATACTTAAGAGAATACATTGTTAGACAAGCTAATAATTTTTACAAGTATAGCATCAATAAATCACCATTAACACGCAACATAACTAGCATTAGATCACAGCATAATATCAACTATAAGCACATACTTACGGCAACCTGCCAATATTTCACGAACCTCTCCCCCCTCCTCTCCTTCCCCCCCTGCCCCCCTAAATAACAAGGTACATTTAAATAACCCAATTAAATCTACCCAACCGCACAAAATCACAAATAAATTATTTGTGTAATGTACAACAAAAAATATATCAAGTTTCTAAAAAGGGTTTTTTACATTTTTCCCTTAATGACCAAATCATAAAATTTGAACAAACAAAAAACTGTGATATTAATTGTAATAAATGTTTTTGATTTTGATTTTGATTTTGGTCCTCGTGATCCAAATCCAAAATTAAACTTACACAAACCAATGTAGGTCGTAAACAACAAAATTCAGACAAAAAATCGTAAACAATAACATATCTGAGCGACGTAAACAAAAATATTCCTCGCCGCACAGTTACGAAAATATCAAAAATAAACTCACAAAAATAAAATTAAAACATAAAATCCTTAAAAAATCCACTACACAACATATAAAAAATTCACAACAAAATAACACAAAATAACCAAAAAATTTGAAAATAAAATAATTTCTCTGCACGGTGCGGCAAAGAAAAATCGCAAAACACTGAGATACAAAATAAATGCAACTTAACAAAACTTTTAATAAACACTATAAATGTATCTTACATATATAAATACCGGTATATGTGTGTATGTGCATGCATGTACGTATATATACTGGTATTTGCAACAAAACAATATGCAACTAAGTTAGAAAATGCTATACAATTACTTAAAAAAGGGTTTTTTAAAATAGTTTTCCCTTTAAAAAACACAATCTTAACTACAAATAGCGATACACAATGACCCACCTTACCGCCAATTATTTCAACATGCAAAACTACCCCATCACGCCTCTGGATCGCTACGCGAAGGAAATGGCCGGCTCTCAATCAAGAATTGTAAGATCAACATACTGCAAGTCAAGGGCACAACACTCAGCCAGGGACTCCGAGACGCCAGGCACCAGCCTCAACGAATCGGAGCCACCTTGTACCTCATGGGCACAACGTTCAGCATTATGCTTGTCTCACTGTGCACATGAAAAATGAATTAATAAATTGTTTTATTACTTTATTTATGTATACAATTGAATGTAATATGTTGATTTAAATGACTGTGATATTAATTTTAAAATAAATTTCTTTGATTTGATTTTGATTTGATTTGGTCCTCGTGACGTAGCCGTTCGACTCTCATAGCGAGCGGACGTGTTTCGAGTGAGCTCCGCGAAAGTAATTTTCTATTAGTATAAATTCTATAAAATCTATTAATATTCATAGTGTAACGAACAGATATAGA